GTTATAAATATTATTGTCCCTCTATATTCTTAAAAAACATATATCCACATTTCTGGTAGGTATATAAGGTATGCATATGCTTAGCTTTGCTAGATACTATTACACAGTTTTCTAAAATGGTTGTACCAATTTACACTTTTCACCAGAACTGTCTGAGGGTTCCAGTTGTTCTACAACCTCACTGACATGCGGTATTGTTTTTTTCCATTTCAGTCCTTCTTTTGGGCATACATCAACAAAACATTCTAAATGTCCATTAAAGCTGTGGTTTTCAAAGTTGTATTGGAAAACTCTGAGACATGGAAGAATTCTGTAGATACTGTAAACATGAAATATTTTCCTCCCACAACAGGAATGCACTGCTGTATCTATAAAATTTTCTTTGGGAAAAAGAGTACTACGGCTAAAAGACTTTTAAAAATCACTACATTGATTATATTATTTTTCAAACTGTGTAGGAAAGGAAAGTAATGTTTAGTTTCTGGAGAGTCTCGAAATTCTCAAATTAGAAGTCACAGTATTTATATAAAGTTAGAGTTGGGAGGTGCCTTTAAGACAAACTAGTTTAGAGGATTTCAAGATGCTTTGTAGTCAGAAAATCTTTTGCTGAAACACAAACTTAAGTACAAGCACAGGTGTCAAACAGCCATATTTCTAGGATGAGGCTGACTGAGAACCCTGAATCCAGGCCTTACTCACTTAGTGTCCGTCTCATCCCATGGAACTCTGCAGAATACACTTAATTTTCAGATAAACAAAGGAAGTCTCTGAGATGTGACAGAAGGCCAAAGATATGAAGCAATTAGTAGTGAGCCTAAAGAAGAATGCTCTACCACAAAACTACAGGTATAATAAAAGAGATAAGATTACAATAAATCAAAATATATTCTTTCTAAAATGATAAAAACAAGAAAAAACAAAAGTTTTTGAGAAGCCCTAAAAGATATTTTATTAAGAGATATATATATATATAATCACCTTTTGACACACACACACATCTCTCTCTCTCTATATAGATATATAGATATATAGATATATATATAATCACCTTTTAGAGGCCTCTTATATAAATAAACACATCACAATCTAAGAATTTCTATAAGAAAAACTATAAACAGAATTAATAAAAACATTCTAAAAACTACGTAGTACCATACACATATAAATTATTAGGAGAGAATAATGCCACAGGCCAAATAATACACACCTTACACATTATATCCTTGGGATAAGTTGAAGGAATCTGAGATTAATGTGGGGTGGAGTAAAATAATTAGGTAAAGCAAGTTGGACTGAATGGATATTAACCCTTTCCAAAATTCTGACTGATGGACTGATATCAAATTGAAGGGATCAAGTCTCTAGTGGAATACTATAGTAGTTTATTCTATTCAGTATTTTAAACAACTGTATGAATAAAGACTTAGAAGGCAGGTAGATCACATCTACAAGTACATACAGTTACCCCCAAGACTTAAAGGAGCCGAACATGAGAGGCAGCTAATACAGCAAAAGTAGGCTTACAGTCGTGAGTAGGTGAAACAAAGTTTATTCTTGTATTATTATTATAATCACTAGAGGCCCGGTGCACAAAAAATTGAGGGGGCTCCCTCAGCCCAGCCTGTGCCCTCTCGCAGTCTGGGACCCCTTGGGAGATAACGACCTGCTGGCTTAGGCCTGCTCCTGGGTGGCAGAGGGCAGGCCCAATCCCTAGGTGCAGCCCCTGGTCGGGCTCAGGGCAGGGCTGATTGGGGAGTTGGGGCACCGCCCCCTGTCATGCACAAAGCAGGGCGGATCGGGATGTTGCGATGCCACCCTCAGTCACGCTCAGGGTAGGGCCTATTGGGGGGTTGGGGCACCCCCTCCTGTCACACTCAAGACAGGGTCGATGGGGAGGTTGCGGGCCCACCCCGTCAC